TGTTCAAATCTTCATCAACATCAACACTTAGTGTATGCATTTTGTATTTATAACAGAATCCATCTAGTAGGTATTAATTTTGATGAAATGTTTCCATTTCTTCATAATTTATTGTGTACATACAGTATATTGTTTGCATCAATAAATTAAATGAATTGTATCGAGTAAATGACATTTACATTGTGGGACACGGGTCAGGCTGCTTCATGTCCGACACAATATTAGTACCAAAAATGTATCCACCCTTTAAAATTGTTCGCACCACCCTTGAATTTTTTTTTCGACCGCATTTTCTGAAATTCTGCCACTCTTTAATAAAATCCTGGCAGGAGGGCTACTATTTATTAAAGTTTAAACTGTCCTATTACAAAAAACTCAATTTTACTTTCAATGGGGGTATATTTTAGTACTGTAACTGTAGTGTAATGTTGTACAGGGTTGTAGTTTTAGCTATAGAAAACTGAGGGTGGGTGGGTTGTATAGATTTTAATAGCGGATTGGTGATAACATTGGTAAACCCTAATACTAACAGTGGATTTTAAGGATGGACAAGGATGTGTCCATTTACAGTAAATATACGGACTCAAGAAAATTCTTTTTTTTTTTACAGAAATTGAGAACAGTTTTGCATAACTATACAATTGTGTATTATACATTGTTTGATGGTTTGGTGATGTCCACAGTTTGAGTCACTGATGCTGTTTCATAATGTGCATGCAATACAGTATGCAAACACAAGGTTTCTTTCAGCCTAGGCCTAGCCTAGGAGGCCTAGAAAGTGTAACATTTAAGCTCTTCCTTGTTTGCTGTTCGAGCTTAAAATGATGAGTTGCTTCTTTTCTTTTTGACTTTGTTTTAACCTTTTTGCAAGGAGGCACTTTACAAGCTTTGTTTTTCAATTATTGTATTGTCCAGTCAACTTCACCCAAGTCGACAGTGCATAAGTCAAAAATTTGTCGTTTTATTGTTACAATTATCATTTCAAAACAACGAGCGAGTAAATATTTTCCATACTATAAAATGGAAAATTACGATAACAAATGCTTTGTGCACTGTGCCGAGTAAGTAAAAATCGAATTGATTTATCATAGCCCGGGTACAATGGCTAGTAAAAACTGCTCTGGGCTCAGGTCAACCTCCCTTCCTTTTTGCCCGGTGGGCTAGTGAACAAGGCCTACAGTACCGCCGGAAACTAATTGCAATTTTTCATGCGTGCAGGCTTCGTCGTAGATACATTGTAGCCTGATATAAACAATCTAAGCAAGCTTACAAAGTGAATCTACAAAACAAAAGTGTGTTGTTTATTTGTATGTGCAGAAAGACTGCTGTAGCTTTACAGAGCTGTTTTTTCAATAAGAAAAACGTACACCTGATCTGATGGGAGTCTCCATTTCCACACTCGCGGTCGATGACAGAAACTTGTTTGTACTGCTGTATTATTTTTTTCAATTAATTAGCATAGGGCCTAGCCTATTTATTTACAGTTATTTTACCTCTTTTACTGTCAAAAATGATGTCCTCAATTAAAATACACACAAGTGAAAAGATTGTTCATCAAATACTACTTTGTACGGTAGTTTCGATTTAGTAAGATAAGATAAATATAAATGAGAGTTAACGTCCGTTGATTGTAAAATTATCGAATGTCACATGGAAAACCCAATTGAAAATAAACCTTGGCAACCCCAAAAATCCATCAGTGGGCAACGTGCGTGCCAATCAGAACATGATAAAGTGTGTTAAAGTTTAATAACCTCGTGGCAAGTGTTGGAAAGCTGTGGGCGACAGTGAGTAAAAAACAAAGGAAATGTGGTCCAGCATGACTAGCCTTAATTCCGCAAGGTAGTAATTTCTATAGTTCCATTTGTATTGCATCGCTTTGCAGGTTCTGCTTCAAATTACGGTAAACAAAAAACAACGTGATCTTTATCTGTAGTTAGTTGTGTAGAGAGGCCTAGGCTATGTACGATGTCCATGGCCTACTCCTTGCCCTAAATAAAGCTATGCGACAGGTTTAATATTTCAGTGATTAATCAAAAATAAAGGAATAGACATACAAATGACAATTGCGTGTGGTTTTTGTTATCCTTTACAAGTTGATACAAGGCCTAGCACATCTGTGGTTGACTAAAAATCCCATATTAAATGGCAAAACAACATACAGTATTGTATGTACACATACAATGTACATACATATTGTATAGCCAATGATTGGGCTAGTAAAATAGCCTGTGGGCTAGTAAAATCTACGTTGAACTAGTCCAGTTGGATAGTGTAAAAAAAATGAAAAATTGAGCCCTGCATAGGTTTTCTCTGAACAAAACAAGATGTCAGAAAACAGTCGCATTTTGATTTTATTGAACTTCAAGCAGATTTAAGTATTCAACACATACATTAACATGACAATATGCCCTTTTCATGCTGCGGCCTATTGTAACAATAAATCATAGCGTGCCGGCCATATTTTCAGAGGTCATGTTACTAAAAGAATCATTTACTCCTTAAAATAACAGACGGTCATATCAACTTAATTTTTTCTTTAAAATGTTTGCAAACGATAGCCCCATATCTATGTACTGTATAAAGAAACTTAATTGAAATAATGAACGGCAATTTAAATTATATTATGCCTAGACGTTTAGGCCTTTTCCCTGTTGAGCCTAGCCTAGGCCCAGCATACTAGCTACAGGGCACAGCCTAGACCATGCCTACTAGTACTAGTAGGTCCTTTCCTAGGGCATACCATATTAGGCCTAGGACATTATCATACAGTACAGACATGCCCCGCCATATATCTAGGCTAGCCTAACTAGCTAGGGTAGGCCTAGCCTAGGCCTACATTTATTTCCGAATATAATTAAGGAAGTTAGGATACATAAAACTTACCAAATTTCGGTAAAGCCTTCCTATGCTATGAAATAATATACGACCATGCACTACCCCCTTCTTAGGCTATGCTATTTGGCTGCGTATTTTCCGTATTTTTCATCACACACAGGAGACACAGTGAGCAGAGAGCCTCAGTTGACCTTTGACATGCATATTTATACTGTAGTCTCAAATACAAACCAAAAAAATACTGTGTAACAAACATGGAATTATAAAGTAAAAGTAAATTAAAAGATATATAACTGATTTATTTGCACATGACAGTTAAACATTCGTTAGAATAATTGCTTTTACTTGTCTCTATCTCAAGTGTATTTCAGATTGTCAAAATAAAGTAGGCGGGGCTTAATTGATATTGTTGGGAAATTCAGGAAATCTAAAAATAGATTTACTACGATACCAGGGGATTGGGGGTTCATACATGATGAGATCGTGCCATTACTATCAAGATCATATATATACTGTACATTATTCACCATCAACACCACCACACAATTGTCTGTCTGGTATAACTGTAGCCAAAGGAATGTTCCATGACTATTTTTTACATGGACGATTCAAAAATAAATTCAAGAACATACAAAGTCAGCAACTACTGTTTTTACAATATTTTAAATTTTATTTCGCAAGTTGATAGCTTTTTCTCCCATTTCATACACCATGTAATCAACTGTTTTGTGCAATCCTACTACAATAATAGTACACAGGTCAGAGGTTACAAACACACGCAAGAAGTTATACTGAAGTTAGTACAACACCCGGTCATGGTATTTTATTATACTGTATATCCGTGATTGAAAATGTTCATCATATAAAAAGTGTTAAAATGTTCATGTGGTGTTCTCTACATCTTATTCTTACTAACTTTACCGGAGGAATGGGGAAGGGTTTAACACTTAAATTCTAAAAATTTATACACTTAGTAAATACATTAATACATTTCAAGATTTAGTAAATACTCCCTTAACACACGGACATGAAAGGAATATGAAATATTCTATGTTAATTACTAGAAACCAAATGGATATGAAATGTTTACATTTTTAGATAATCCAAGCCAAATACTCCAATAATGCATGGACATTAATGATGACTCCAGACTAATTAAGAAGGAAATGAGGGATTTAAAAAAAAAATTTATGTAGTGACTGTTATAAAAAATTGTAGGATTAGAATACTAAAGTTTAGAAAGATAATATACTGTACAAGAAGTGGGATGAGGGCTAAGATATTACTAATTGAACAGAAAAACAGATAGAGGAGAAAAGATAGTGTATACGACGATGATGCCAATGTGGAATGCAATGCTTTCATATCAGCAATGCATATGATGAGCAAGTAACATAAATGAATGCTACAGTATTGACAAGTAGATTATTTTACTCAAAAAACACATTCCATCTGATTGTGTGCTTTTTAAGCAAAATTCTACTGTTCATCTGACAATTTCGCAATCATTCATGGTGTAAATTACCATAAAATTAGTCCCAGACAGCTTTTATCAACCAGAACAGTAAAGCCTATTACATCATGTCATTTTAAATTAGAACACTTTATGAAAATTCTTGGATCACTGACGTCAAATTATAAAAAAATTCTAGAGTGCCATTTCAACCATAACACAAAACTCCAGGCCATTGTGCCGCTTTTAAGTAGTGTTTCTTAGAACACAACACAGTTCCAGATCACCAATGTGATTAATCTAACATTAAAGATCTACTGTCTCCTAAAAATGACAAAAAAATCATAAAAAAATAATTAACTTGTATATTTTGCAGTAACATACAAATTAATTGACTTTATTGAATTTTAAAAATGTGTACCCCGATTTTTATACTCGATAATGACAAAACAATAAAAACACTTCAGTGACTGGATGTGTTTTTATATCATTTTTCACTGTAACACTGTAGGTAAACATTTTTTAAATATACTAATTTCTATGTTCAAGAATGTTTATGTTTTTGGTACTTTTTAGGGACAATACATTTTTATCATTAGTTATCTCATCAACATTCTGTCTTATTACTGGTGGCAAACTTAGCCCTAAATTACACAGGTCATCATGTCAGCACTTTCTAGAATGTAGATTTAGTAATTTACATAAAATTGTCAAGGCAACTATTTTTATCCCATACTAAAAAAACCAAATTCAGACATGTAGAAAACAATTCTGAACATGGTGCTCTGATTCCTACCAAAGAATGAAAGTAAATACCTAGATTGCCCTTCAGTATTATTACATTCATTACACAAAGAAATGAATAGCAGAAAAAATTTACAAGTAAAAGCCACAAAAACAGCGGTTTTTGTTTCTATAAGAAGTAATCCAGCTCATATCGATTATATTCATTTTTCTCGTCATTTGGTATCCGTGGGTAGCCAGCCACTAATGCATCCTGTGCCCCGATGTAGAGGGTATTGTATATTTTCCAGTAAACGTCCCGCACTTTCCTGGCTGGATGGAATAACCCCTGAAAGTATAGAAAAATATGTATTTTTAATATATTTTACCATATTTACAGAGGGTTGCATTTCTAAAGATGTGTATAAGAGACAGCAGTACTGTTTCAATTTTGTTAGGTCTCAACAGTGCAGCTCAGGATTTCAAGAATGAAATACATACAGAATATAAAACATCTTTTTTTCCAGACATATATTCATCGCATAACCTTAAAAAGTGTGTAAATCAGTGGAAAATTAAGTGTTTAAATATGCGGCCAAACATGAGTTGATACTTTTTTCATCCTTTTTTTTTTTTTTACTTCATTCATAGATTTAAAAATATTTCATACTTATTTAACAGTAAGTGATTTGCAATAAACAAAACATTTTTAGTTGTGAGATACTTAACTTAATCACCAATCTACAGTTCCACTACAAATGAATGACAAAAATCTATGAGAATGATTAAGTATAAAAGTGTTTCCTACCTGCAATGTATACTGAAGCATTTTCACGGCTCCTACACCAATGCGTAGGCCTTCGATGGAATCCATTACGGCCTGGATGACGTGAGGAGAAGTTTCAAACACATTTGGCCAAACAAAGTTGATAAGGTGGATAAGAGCATCTTCACAACCGAACCCAAATACACCAAGGGATATGTGCTTGATGGCGGCGCATGCCGTCTGACGATGGACAAGATCTCTGTAGAAAAAATAATCAAAAAGCAATGTTGGAATATCTTACAATGTCGTAAATTGATTGTATATTATAGGCAGGGAGTGGATTTCTTCTTCTCTTATTCTACAGTCGACCTTCCCATTTACGAACTTCTCATTTACGAACCTTCTATTTTACGAACGTTCGGCTGATGACGTCATCGCTAAATTTATTCATTTTATTTATGCTATTTTTTTATTTATTTTAAGAAAAACGAATTACAAAGGTCATTAAAAATTGCATTATAGTACTAGTTATACAGTCTTTCCATAAATAACCATACTACTTTACACTTAGAAAAGTCAAACCAATACATGATGTAAAATAATAAAAACTAGGCGAAATTCAGGCAGGCAGTGCATGCTGCTAGGCCTACCTTGTCTGGGCTAAGGGCAAGGCTGGGCAGCCTATAACAGGGGGGCCTACCCTACCTTGTCTATGGTTAACTACAGTCTAAATGCACTGTAAATCAAATCAGCTAGTCCGAGTATAAATGTATGGTAACATCAACCTTTTATCCTTTTAAGAATAAATCACTGTTCGGATATTCAATAAGCATCTGTATTAATTATTTGTTTTTCACTGTCAAAAAAAAAAAAATGATTATCAAGCTGCTCTATTTTTAGAAGATGACATCAGCAATTACCCATCATTCAACGCTACAGGTAGGCCTACCAAAACCACATGTTTGGAAGTCAGGAAGATCGAAAAAATAGGAACCGTTTCTTTTTTGACTTTATACAAAAATACCTTGACTTAAATAAATAATAAGCCCAGTGCTTTTAATACAAATTATATCAATGTTTGTTGACTAATTTGCTATAAATTACGGACAGAGGCCTAGCTATAGTTAGCAGAGAGCTGCTGCTAGGCCCAGCTAAACCTTGGCTAAACCACCACACTGTATGTTGAACAGTCAGCCTATAGTGACATGGAAGATTAGGTCGGTCTATCCATGGAACTTCCTTAGCCTGAATCGATAGTTATTATATTAGTTTGTCTTGCATTAACATTTAATTGATTCTTCAACAATTTCTATAAATGTTTATTGAACACTTAAATGCAAAATTAAGCCTAGATATTGGTAGGCAGGCCTAGTTATAGGTTACAACTTGGCGTTTTTAAACTTGAGGGCCCTATTCTTACGAACTTCTCATTTACAAATTTTCTTAATTACGAACTGCTTTCAGCCCAAGGTGTACGTAAATGGGAAGGTCGACTGTATTTTGAACACCCAATGGCAAGCAAGCTCACATATTGTGAGAGGATGGAATATTGTAATGTCCCAAACAATATGTCTTTTAATGAGGCTTAGAGATTGGAGGTTTGTTTTTAGTTGACCAAAAACAGTAAATTAACTCAGCATTCCAACAGCACATACAACATTCAAATCTTATTCATGCTCATGGAGAAAAATGTATGTTATGTGCCTTATTTAAGACACAAACCACAAATTTTGAACTGTTCCATTGGGACTCAAATTTTCTTGCATGCTTGTACAAAAACCTACTCACCTGTCCATAAGAGCATCCTCTAAAAGCGGTGTAACAGCGTAGATATAATCTTTGCCCATCTCACCGATATATTCAAACATGAATGACAGCGACTTCAACACACCATTTTGGACATTTAGCTCAGGCACGCGGTATTCATTCATGAGTGCCGGTAACACGGTGAAAGGTGAGCATGTCTCGGCTACGATCGCAATAGCAACGGTGGTACAGACTCGATTTTGTCGCTCCTGGACTTTGAGATTGTTCAGTAAAGTGGCCAGCACATCATGCGGTCTACAAGAGAATGCATGATTTTAGTAACAACTCATTATTGTTTTTTTTGTGCCTGTTGCTAAAAATTAAAAAAAAAACAAAAATATATATATTTTTGGCCTGCTAGCCAACTGCCCAAAAATTGGAAATTTCAGAAAAAATATAAATAAATTTTTAATACTTACCCAATAGCTTTTGCAATATAACCAAATGTGTTAACTGTTGCTCTGCGGATTGCTTTCTTGTGAGCCTTCAAAAGTTCAAGGAGCTCAAAACAGATTCGCATCCATTCACGGGCAGAAACAAATTCTGCGCCACGATCAGCAATCCGACCAACCAAGTCGATACAGTTCTCTTGCACTTTTTCATGTCTGTTAAATAAAAAGGAGCAAAAATAAGTAAATAAAAAACACTGTTGCAAACAATATATAATGTCTTAAATGAATTACTTTGACTATGATTGTTACTCTGTAGGTACAGAGACCATGGAGTTTGCTGTATAGAATCATAATTATTAAACTCACTTGTTCTTCAGAATAGGTGTTAGTCTTGGCAGAAGATCTTTGATGGGAGGTGTCATCTTGGTCATACCAATGACATTGACAATGGCCTTCAAAGCGCCCAGGATACTACCCAATACTTCGGGATATTCTTCTCCCAGATACTCATATAATACAACACCTAAATGCCCCATCAGTTTTTCCTGCGGAGGACAATAAAAAAATATAAATACTTAGCGTATGGCATATATACAAGTGTTCTACACACAGTTTCATTTTTTTTGTTTGTTAAATCATCACCAACTACCTATCTAGCAGAGCAAGTAAATGTTTTTGACAAACTAGTCTCTATATGAAGACCTGTCCAGACTATCAAATGTTATTTAACAAAAACCTGTGACATGCCCAAATATGATAGGCACATCATGACTATATATGGGCATATCATGACTATATATGGGCATACAAAAGGTTTTTTCCAAAGACAATTTGAATGTGTAGACAGAGCTTAAAGAAATCTTAGAAGCTTTTGCTAATGAGAACCCTGCAAATGAAGATTCTTAAAACACCAAGCTACATCCATACACTACTTTGAAGAATTTCATCTAGTCTTTAGTTGAATATACTGTGAATGGTATCTGCCTTCAAATGAAACTGTAATGCAAGTTTCAAAAAACCTTTAGTCATTGAAGAATCTTTCACAGTATACATCTATATACTATTCACACTTCACATGGTTGACAGGAAATGAGCCAGCAGTTGCAATTTTGGCTCTCAACCAAGTCAACGGTTCAAATCCTACTCTGTCCATTCAGCTTCTGTCCTTAGACAAGTCATTTTATCTGTTTAATAAAACTTCAGTCTTATGCTACATTATGCAAAGGTACATTTCACAATAAGTGAGTCTATCCTGAATGATTATCAAAAAATACAAATCTAAAAACAATGACGACAACAGCAGCAGCAAATAATACCAATATTACCATTACTGTTGTTGGTGTTGTTATAAATGTTACACTGCTTACCTCTTGACAAGTTCTCATGACTACAGCAATTCTTGAGATGAGGTCAGCAGCCTGTTGTCTGACCTTCGCCGCCTTGTTGTTGAGACGCCACAGGATTGTACCACAGATCTGTGGCAGGTACGGCTTCACTCGCTTGCTCAGCGCATTAACAACAGTGCCAAATCCATTCAGCATCACAACATCCTACCAAAAACAATGAAAAGCATATAATGTAATGATTCAGTAATTAAAACAGTTATTCCTCAAATGATTGCTAACTAACACTAAAAGAACTATTAGTTTTTAGTAAATTTATTCTTCCATGGGTGCAGTAAAGGGAAATTTTTCAGCACTCCATTTTAACTTTAATAGCTCTACAGTAGGGGTGGTCATAAAAATTGGTCGGAGGGCCAAAGTGAATTTTTGATTTAACACTGAGGGCCGCACCCAAACTTTTTAATGTTTCCAGTGACCTTCCAAAAACCTCCAAGCACTGCTTTTACACCACTTTATTCTGAGTTTTAATGTTACTTTTTTCATATGATCAGTATCGGGCTGTGAAAAACAAGGTGCTTTCTAGCTAATGTGCTTGTCGGACCGCAGACATAGGGTTTTTAATTTATAATCCTGGGCCGCACTTTGCCCAACTTGTGCTTTACAGAGAGAGTATAACTTTAAATTAACATTAGTACCATTAACTAGTCTAAACGGTTTCAGTGTATTAAAATAAAATATCCATATAAGTATTTACAAAAGAAAATCTCTACCAGGCAAATTGTTCTATCGATAAAATGGATCTACCATCCTTACCTCAGTTGTCTGTTCCTGGAAAGCATACAGAATGCCATCAATCAGTTGTTCTTCCAGCCTAGAATCAATGTCTGACGCCCCCAAGTTGTCCATAATTTTCTCAATGGTTTCCATAACCATTTTACGGTACTGTTCAGCTTCATCTTTGAGGTCATCTACGATACGTCCGATGATTTCTGCTGCTCCAACCTTGTTTGCTAACTCAACTGTTGTGTCCACAAGCTGTAAAAGCAAATAATACAGTTGTTACTTGTGAGAGGGTGTGTGTGTGTTAGTCAGTGTGTATCACTGAGTTTGTGTCAGTGTGTTTGTAAATGCATGTCTGTGTACTTATGTATGCGAGTGTGGACATATTTGTGAACACATGTGTATAAGGTGGAAGAACATATGTGTTCAATTAAAATTAAACACATACAATCTAAAGATCTCAAAAAGAAAAACACTGGCTCAAAAACAATTGTACGATATAAACCAACTTACCTGTCTATAATTTCTTCTGTCCAATGCCATTCTGTGCTGCCAGAAATGTTTGAAGAACGATGGGAGAACTTCATCACGGATGTACTGCGGCTCAACACCATCTGTTGCACAACACTGTTTCACAACCTAGCATAATGTAAGCAAAGACAGAAGAAAACAGCTTTAAAAAAAATTCATACAGAATAATATGCTAAGTTAAATAAGAAAGAGTTTTCAATTCTTATATATCCAGTGAAAATAAGGTCAAATATGGCTATGCTTATGATTTGAAAACATTACAAATGCTGTCCTACTACTATGATAAAGTGCGTCCACAGTAGAAAATCTTCTAGTTAAATAAAATATTTCTGATATTGATCATTAACACATAATATAAAGCTTTCATGAAAATAGAAAATTACGTACCTTTAAGACAATTTTTTTCATTTCTTCGTCGGGAGACTGAAACTCACGGATCAGAATCAACATCACCTCTTTTGTGTAGTAATTTGCATATTCAGGGTCCATAAGGGGGATCAGGTAACCAATGGCTTTCAGAAAAGCTGCAAGACCCTACAAATGAAAACACAAAAACAGAATGGTCATTATTTTTATATGCTTTCCAGGTTATGATTATTGGAAAGTGTAGAATGCATGCAAATATTTATTATATTGAATTTTGTATATTGTGTATCAATCACATAACATTGTTTAAAATGTGTGAAGCATTTTGATTTCAATAATTATTTCTCAATCATTTACTAACATCCACATCTTGGTGTGAAAATGAAATACATACATGAAATATCTCTGATTTGCACATGCTATTAAATTCCCACATGTATTAACTATTAACCTACAACAAAAAAACGTACCTTTCCTCTGTGCTGTCGAATACCTTTCCAAAGTGGTTTCAGTACACTATCAAAGGATTCAATACCGTATGGTGTTGCAGCTTCAGCTAAAGCAGCCAAGGCAAGGGCAGTAATGGTTCGCACCTTCTGCTGCTCATCAATTAAACCTGAAGAAGAAACCATAATTTCATTTACATTAATAATTAAAGAATAACAAACGGAAAAAAAACCATTATTATTAATAATAAACAAACAGGCTAAGCGGAGTACATAACAAACCAGTAACCAAATCCTACCATGTTCAATGATTTCGACAAGGTTTCGAAGATGTGGCAAAATGGCACAACCCATCAGGATGGCAATCTGCTGGACGATCTTGATACCAGTATGTCTGGCCTGCCAGGACTTCTTACTCCTGCACACAGCCTTCAAGAATGGCAGCAGGGAAGGAATACCAAGAGCAGATGCCACCACAGCAAAGGCACGAGCGGTCGTGTTTCGCACATACTCATCCAAGTTGTCAATATCGGGACGCATTGTGGAGATCATAGTTGCCAAGCCTGCAGCTTTCGCCAAGTTGGAAATGATCTCACGACCCTCTACACGAGCATAGTAGTCTTCATCAATCAGCAGGGGCTCAATCACAACAAGAATCTACAGTGTAGATCAGAAAGTATCAAAAAGTATAAAATATCAGAAAAGCTTAGAATTGTGATTTATATCGGACATATGCAATTCAGGCATACATGTTGCCAAATAATGCTTAAAGTGCAGCCTTAACCCTAATGACTGTGATTACCAAGTGCCTGGTTTCAGCAACACATAGACACTTAATTTAGATTGTTGTTCTATATATTGGGTAACCTGTTATCTACTGTTCTCCCAGATGGCCAGTTATGCTCTATAAACTAAACCTCCTACTCCTCCAACTTTCCTACATACCAAAAGAATATGTGAAGCTTGCCATTCCAAAACCAGTGTACTGTCGCTAATTGTTAAACTGATTAATTAACATAAGGATGTGGCAGCATTGTATACTTTAGTACACAGAATCTGTAATACTTCTACTCATAACTTTGGCAACAGCAAGTCAATTGCACTAAATCACCCATTATTTCATAGCTTATAATGCGGAAAAATAAAAAAAATTGAAGAAAATTCATGACCCATTACCTTATGGACATATGGTCGCACAAGATCATCAAGCTTGTAAAGAATTCTATCAATGACCTTCACCAACAGATGGCGCTCTTGATCTTCCAAAGTTGGTGACATAAGTAAGGGAAGGATCTGGTTGAACAGAGGACCAGCACCAAACTCACGAGCTTTGTCAGTTATCTGTCTGAGGGCTGCCTTTCGCATCGGAGGAGTACCATTTTTAATTTTCAGCAGTAATTTCATGATTCTTCTCTCCTTTAACTCCTCTGGGCTCAGGGAGCTCTCATCAACATCAATCTAAAAATATAATTGTTTATATACTGTAATACTTTTATCACACTGATTTTGTAATTCAAGTTAAATGGTAAAACGCATATGGTCAGCAGTTTAAGCTCTATAATAGCGCTTAAAATGCTGTGTGTTTGAAAATAAAACTGGTGGCATTGCTTAAGTTGTTGGTAATAACATGCTTAATGCTAAAGATTCAAATATATATATTACTTATTACAACTTCAACATAAGGTTAAGGCTAACACGCCTCGTTTCTATCATTTGCGACCTCTAAGACAAGGTCATCTGAAGATGAGAAATACATACCAGAAGTTTGTCAAAGTACTGGGCATCGTCTGGTTTCAGAAAAGGCAAATTGCCAGGTGGTTGAGCTAAACCATGGTCTACATTCCGGTCTTCCTGCTGCATATGGAAGCCGCTCATACCGCCCATTGGTGTTGGTGTGGCAGTCAGCTTTCTTGCTGGAGTACGGATTGGTACATAGCCAGCAGGTGGTTGCAGAACCTGAAAGACAAAGAAACATTTTTTATCAATATAATACAGATTATGAAAATTCCTATAAAACACTTTTGAACTGTTAGTTAAAGTCTTGAATAAAATTGCAGGGAAGATATTTTCATGAACCGATTTCAGTTTTTAACAAAACAAATTTATATTCAACCATAGCTTCTTAATCAATCAATCAACTGACCAATTAACTGGTTAGTGATATTATTTAGTTATATTACTATAGGATCCCGAGCCAGAGGAAGACAAAGAGGAAAGTGGAGCGATGACATCAAGCTATGGAGTGGTACAACATCCTACATAGGAGCAAAAAGAGCTGCTGAAAATAGAAGTGGATGGGAAACTATGGTGGCCAACCTTTGTAGTGAAGACGGCACTTGATGATGATGATGATTACTATAGGAACTTATACAATTGGCAAGTCATCTCACAGCTTTAAATATAATGTTTAGTAATAATTCCATAAATCAGGAGTGATTCGTGGATGGAAGCAAAGCTTTCACACAATTAATTAATTAATCAATAAAGCTCTGAAGTCCCAGGAGTAACAAATCATACCAAATTATGATAAGGCCAAATACAACATTTTTGGTTAAAAAAAGCTTTCCTACCAACCTACCCATTTTTTGGATATTCCCAAAATATGGCCATCCCAAAAATAATTTTTTTTGGCCTAACTCTGATGAGACTGGGCTCCTGACCAGTGTTACTACTGACATATAAGTGAACTTGTCTCAAAAGTCACCAGCATTCCTTATCCATTACCTTATATCCTTCTGGAAACATTGTATCCAGTTCTTCATCTGAGAGGGGCCTGTTCCTATCGTCAATCTCCTTCTCCCACCTGTATGCCTGCAATTGTTCTGGAGTCATCATTCTGAGTGCAGAAGCACTAGGTGTGCTCATCACCATAGCTTTAGGCCCCTTAGGTGTCACACCACTGGTCAGGGTAGGGGTAGAACCTGGGGTCTGGGGTGTCTGGCTTCCAGCTGCTGGGGTGCCACCAGGTGTCTCATCCCATCTTGATCTTCGTTTGCTACCTGGTGTTGGGGTCATTGATGGTTCATCACCAGTGCCGCGATCTGTACGAGGTGTTTCAGCCCATCCACTACCATGTCCAGGTGTTTCTGCAATAAAATATATAAATATACAACACATCACTAGTCATAACAATTGTGCATAGCTTTCTATAATGACTTGCAAGGTGTGAAAAATATATTTATGTTGTCATTTTTATAGATGAAACTCTATCATACCTCTTTCTGTTCTAGGTGTCTCATCCCATCTGTTCTTGCGGGCACTGGGTGTGGCTCTACCTGGTGTTGCGTGCCCTGGGGTAGAATGACCTGGGGTGGCATGACCAGGTGTGATATGTGTTGGCGTGGCATGGGCTGGGGTTGGTTCCCACACACGAGTAGTACCAGGAGTAGCACCTGGTGTCTCACTGCCCTTTGCGCGACCAGGAGTTTCATCCCACCTTCCATGGGAGGGTGTGGAGCTCTAAGGAAAAAAAACCCAATAAAATTAGTATAAACTCACTAAATGGTACATCAGACTCAATGCTAAATCATACAATTCTGTAATCAATTTTCCAATAAAATTAAACTTGACTACCTCTGCTTGATCCCACGAGCTGGTTTTCTTCTTACTGGGTGTAACTGCTCCGGGTGTGTCTTCACCTGCTTGGTCCCATCGGCGTTTCTTTTTGGGAACCACTTTGAGTGTGCCCTCTTTTTTTCTCTGTAATATCTGATTGTGTTGATGTCTCTAAAAAATGTTAAAAGAAACAATATTATTATTTATTCTATCAATTCACAAACTCTTGTAGGTTAAAGATGTATTGTCCCATGCTAAATACTGTATCAAAAATATCATAAAAATATTTTTTGAAATTAAATTGCCAATTTTGAAGTAACATAAAAGTTATCAACTTGAACATAGAAATTAGTGTTTTTTAAAAAATGTCTATCCGTCAGATTACAGCAAAAAATGTTTGAAACACTTCCAGTCACTGGAAGTGTTTTATTATTTTTTATTATAATTTGTTGGTTTAAAAATCAGGGTACAAATTTTTGAAATTGAATAATTTATATGCACAAGTTAATAATTTGTATGTTATTGCAAAATGATAAAGTTTATTTCAAACTTATTTTTTATGATTTTTTTACTTTTATCAAGGAACAATACATCTTTAATTGTTTCTAGTAGTTTGTTTATTATTACTGAATATTTTGCATTTAATAAATATAATTATTCATATTACTGTATTTGATTTTTTTAGATTTATTATTAATTAAACAAACATATAGTATTAACAAATTACCTTATTAATTTCTATATTAATTTTAGTTGGTTTAAAATTGTGTAGTTTCACTTTTTGAGGAATAATTATTTTTGTTAATAATTCTATTTAATATTCAATTATTTTGAATCATTTAAAGTTATTTAATAACTTTATTCCTATTCATAGTATAATTATTTAAAAAATGAAAGTATGGTCTAAATCTAATAATATAGTGCTTTCGATTTTGCATGATCCTAGGACAAATTCACTTGTCCGTGACCATCTTCTATCTTCTAAAAAGCATAGGCTAAACTCATCTGAGAATTCAGAAAATGAGAAATAAAAAGCTTCACATGCGCAGACGATCTCAATCACACCATTGAGTCCTGGGTCTCACTGTCATCCCAGAACAAAATTCTGACAACATACCTCTTGTGCCATCTGCTGTCTTTCTTTCATTGTGTCAGCGAACGTCCTCAATGACGGGTCTGGTGTTTTGCCACCTGTATGCACAGACAAGAATCGTAAGATATAAAGAGAGAAAAAGAAGAAATAGATTAGTATACTGTATACACATAATTATACTAAATTAACACAGCATTAAAAAATGAATATAAAAAAATGGTTTAAAAAAGCATGAGTCTTCAGTTTTAACATAGACCAGTTAAGGGCATGCTATATATTCAAATCCTGCTTCAATTGCTTACAGGATAATAATGAACAAGTTCATAATTATATTTGGATGTTATACAGCATCCAATAATCTCTTATATTAATTTAGATAATTACATGAAAATATACATAATAACATATTAATTATCACATATGAAGTTTCTAATTCTCTGCTGGAGCAATGGGTAGTTGATCTTTGTCTCTTACTAAAGACATATACTTTTTCTAAACACATGACAAATTTTACATACAACTACCTTACAAAGTTATGGCAGATAACCATATATGACTTCATGATAATGTTATCTACCAATTAGAAAACTGAAGTTCCCACTCGGTATCCATCTTAGCCATTCTAAGTAGTAATAGCAACTGTGGACAGGCCAGAGTCAGGGAAGCATCAGAACTCTCTTTTGCAAAGTAGTTGTTTGTCACTGTAATCATCGTTTGAGATGATTAGCATTCAATGTTATGGTTGAGTGCACTCATACATTAAGTCTACACATGGTTGTTAAAAGATCTAAGTTTGTCCCAGAACTTTAGTCTCATGTGCTGTTGCATTTTTATTTTTAAAAATCAATCAAATCTAATTTCTTGAAACAGAAATTTAAATTCAATGCATTTACTAATCTAAGCATAAAAATGAGTATTCTGAGTGAATACATTCTCAATATTTACTGTATATTAAAATCATTCAAGTAACATTAACACTTTCGAATTTTTTAACATGTTTACCAAAAATAAGACTTTACCTAATAATGTCATAGGAATCATTCAAAAAGTTTAAGTCCCAAGTGTAGACTAATACAAAAAGTATATTCAACCATAAAGGGTCTAATTAATTGACCCCAATATACTCCCTGTTTAGGCACTGTTGATACGTACTGCACAACTGTTATTCCATTCAGTAGCTGGCCTTTCTCTTCCATTGATGTGAGCCTAAAATTAATCTTTTGAGTCGTTAGTGACTTTGAGTATAGCTTACCAACAACTTACAATATACACGTAAATATGAGACCGGGCAAACAGTACCCGATTTTTAGGGAGTTTACACCCTATTCGAGTAAAAATCTTACAATAATATCAGTTACCTAAATACTGTATGTAGAAAACAGGATTTCATAGCTTGCACATAAATAATAAAGAGCAAAAGTCTACATTTTCTTACAGCCAATCAGAGAATTAAAGATCATCAGTTTCTAACATCACAGCTGGATACTGTATTTAAGCAATGCCGGGATAAAACATTAAAAAATGGCATTGCATGAAAATCTGTTAGCACGTAAGACTGATTTTTTTAATTCTTTCTTCTTTTTGATGATCAATTTATAAAAGAATGCCAGATACAATAATTTAAGAGTTCACTCTGGCATTTATGATGTATATTGCAATTTGAATTGCTGCCTAAACCCAACATGAACCTGTTGTCAGCAAGAGATGTGATTGCCGTTTTCCAAGCTGTTTAGGAAAGAAATGAGAGCACGATTAATGTCTGTTCAGTTACAGGAATTTTCAAGATTCTCCTAAACAATTGTCTCTGCATACAACACACAAACTGAACACCAAAAATTCATGCCTTATTTATCACCATTTTCAGATGAGATACAAGTACTGTAATTTCAAAATCATTCATAGAGGGGACAGTGAACAAATTCTCAATATGATGTCTATTGTTTTTCCTTTCGAAAAATATTTTTTATAATTGTAGACAAAACATTTTGTTTATTCATCTGCTTGGAGATAAACAAATTACCTTAATATCTAGAGACATCTGTAATTATAATATTATGCATCTCATCATCTTTGTATAAATTTGGGTTAATTCAATATTTTGTTTATCCTCAACATGAAATTAATAGTAAGAAAAGCATACTTTAATTTAATTACCTTTTTCATTACTAAAATTGTGTATACAAATGTTCGTAATTATTAAACCAGGAAATACTTTCTATCTTGATCAAATGTTATTGTTGTTCTTATTCACATTTAAGGGTTGAGGGAAGATTTACTGAGTGATTAAAGACATATAGCCAACATTTATGTTTCTATTGCTTGTATCATAATTATATACAAGTTAAAGATTTCAATAAAAATTAGAAAGATTTTCCTTACCAAGTAACAAATATACATTGTAAATATTACTTTGTATATAACATTTAATTGCCTAAACAATAAATCTATTTAAGGTTTGTTTTGGTGTGTGTTTCATTGGAAGTTGATTATCTGAATCGTTTTAAAATTTCTAAATCCCTGTCCAGAATAAAACATGTGACATGCCTGAATATGGTCATGACATCACACCATGACTACACCATATATGGTCATGACTACACCATATATGGGCATACAACAGTTGTTTTTTTTTTGTCAAAGAAAATGTGATAATCTGGACAGAGCTTTATAGAACTATTGTAGTTTTCCAATTTAATAGTAAATGGTATATCTTTATGATATAGTCAAAATATTTGGCCATCCAATCAAGGAAAACGAAATATAGAATAGTACACACAATGATTAATAATACTGTATCACTCTACACACAAAACTACATGCATGCAGTAATGTGACATGCCACAAGTACAGAACACGCCCAGCTTCTGTGAGTGCTGTCCAGGTTCAACAACTAAAACCAGTTTATTCATAATCCTGGATATTCTAAGCCCTGGATGAGCCTCAAAACCACTGGATCTACAGTATCACCTGTGATCAAAGTAATCCAACATTTGCCTTAAAATTCCTTATGTCACTTACAGTTATTAGAAGTTCAGGACAACCATTACAATAATAAAACATGTGCAACCAGACAAAGATTTTAAAAGAAACATAATCAAAAGATTTATCTTACCGGGTAAGAATGGGTCATGTCGAGCTGGAGAGATCATTCTTGCACGAGCCATCATCGTGTATTCATTCTCTCGATCGATGATGCGAGGGATTCTTGTTTCTGCCATCGGATCATGGTCCTGCAAATCAATATGAACAACACAGTTATAGTTATAATACACATATTATACATCTCTGAATTACAAGCTTCCTAAATACTAACTCTCTTCTCTCTATTTTAACAATACGATTGTTCTGTAGTAGCACATGCACATGTACCAGCGAGGTGGTGACGCCGAGAGTACACTACATGTATGTCACTTTTGCAAGGTTGTGGTGATGTTGCAAAATGGTTTTCAGTGCTGTAAACAAATATATATTTTATCCATTATTATTGGATGAGGGTAAAGGTTCACATACAAAATTTGGTAAAGACAAGCCAAACTAGTCACTGGTTGGAAAAATAGATTTGTAGTTATTAATACAGGGTTAAACAGTAAAAAGAGAGCTATAAAATGTGAGAAATCAATATATGAGAAATCAGCCTTCAAAGTTTATGATTTCGGGCATTTCTTAAACAGAAACCGTAACCAAATTGTTAAAAATTGTTTTTTTTAGTTGGAAATTGGGAAATAACAGCATAGCATGATATATAGATAGATATATAATGGTTAGTTAATTGTAATAAAATAGATTTTACAAATTTTGACATTCCAGCATAATTTGGCCATTATCTCTGAAAAAGGATTTGCGACACATGACTGATTTGGCTCGTCTTTGCCACAAATGTTACCTTTGCAAGTTCTTCATTCTCCCTAATATATGCAGATGGTGCAACATATGAATTCTTGCCCATCAGGGATGTGCTGCTGTAGTCGTCGTCTTCCTAAAAACACAAGAATACCAAAAAATGAGAATACTGGCTTCACATCAATTCCATTATATACCATATATATTTCTATAATGTGTTATTTCTATACAGTAGCTCTTTAAATCATCATATATCAAAAGAATCACCCGTAAAAATTAAAATGTTACATCAAATACAAATAGGCCTATTAAAAATTTAAAAACATTAACAAAATGAAGGGGGAAAAAAACAAAAAAAATAATGTAGATATTAAGAGCTATACAAATTTGGGGTTTGGTCTTCTGTTTCATATAACTATTTTAAAAAAAATTATTATTATTATTATTATTATTTATTATTATTATTATTGTCATGATTACACATCATGATGGTGACTACGATTAACAATATCTTTATTGTTTATAATAATAATATAATTATAACAATTTATGATGATTTTTTTGGCAAGTAAATGAAATGCAGACATAAGCATGATGAAAACATCATGATGATGACTGCTGATGAATATATAAGTGATGATGGTAGTGATGATGATGGATGTTAACAGCAATATTCTGTCAACTGTTAACACTTACATCCTCCCCCTCATTTGTTGCAATGGATAAATCATAGCCGGCATATCTGCTGCCACGTTCCCCATAGATGCTTTGATCAAAATGGCCGCCTTCTCCTAAACCAATACGATTTCCATCTCCTTCAGTATTATTCGCATTCTCATGCTGAATATTTTTTGTTTTCCCTTGAATTTCACGAATCTGCTCTTCAATATCTAATGACAATTAAAAGTCTAACAAAGTTAATTATGTATCATTTTTCATAGATCTTATTACTGTAGGCCTATCTTATAAAAACTTACACAATCTTTTTTTTTTACATGGGTTTTGTGTTTACCATACAGTTTGCCCTCCAATTCGAGAACACCTTTGAAACCCGAAAATTTGAGGTGGATTGGCTTTGTGTTTAAACAAATGAAGATTGTTATTTGGTTCTTCGAAAAAGTTGGTCGCGAATTAGAGGGTTCTGAATTGGAGGGTGCACTGAATTATTGAATGTTTACGATTCTATTTAGATACAATTTGATTACTGTGACAGGAAGTTTGCAAATTTAGAGAAATCAAATTCTGAGGCATCACAACATTAACTTTTTCAGAAAATTAAATTGAAGTTTTTTACCTCGCTTATCCATTAGAGCTAAAGCCTAAATAACCCAAAATACCAAATTATTATTCAAAATTCATAACCATTCTTTTAGTTTAGTCCAACTCAGCTTGGGAGAGAGCACAATCCAAACTTAAAAACATCTCCTTTCCTCCCACTGTGGTTGTGCCCTGCACTTATGTGGAAATACAAGAGGACTGATTGGCACTTACAGTAGGGCACATAGAACAATTATTACTGTAGATGATCACTCTTAAAAAAAAAAAAAATAAAACAAAATTGATGAGGGCTGGAGTAGGTTTTTTTTTTCGTTGGGGGGAGGGGGGAGAGATGGGATTAATACATAGAGATTCCTGTGTCATGAAAAGAACGAATTGACATTGTTTTTTGAAGTGGCAGATGCATTTAAACAACTGCCCTGTGATTCAATGGCCTATCCAAAACTACTGTAGGCCCATATTCCGGTGAAAAAATCAGACATTACTCGGGCATCCAGGGAAGGGAACACCCTAATCAGGACTAGGCCTTTGATAGGGCCAATCACTTTCTGCATGTTGTGTGGGCCGGTGCTAGGCGGATTCCTACCTTGTTACGGTGCTCATGCACTTTCGCACGTACCTTTTAATTCTTAATTTTTTTTACCTCAATGTTCTTCTCACAGTCACAAGACATAATTATAACATTTTTACATGATTCAACCACTCACAAAGTACATTTTTCAACAAAAAAAAGATACCTTTATAAATACAAGTTGATGCACATACAGCGTTTTTGCGCTTGATAGCACGACGAGCTGTACATACTATTTTGCTGCTTTGCAATGAAGCAAGAAATTGCCATTATGTCCAAGTCAATTCTTAAATTTTGAAACAATTAAAGGCCAGCCTTATAATTTAAATCTGAATTTTCCAGTGAAACATCCACCATTAAATGTGGCATCATTACGTGGTAACATTTTTTTGAATTACTTATCGTAATCAAGATTAATCGAACCGACGTTTAGCATTCAGGAGTGGCGCCCGCGGGGGCCATGGGCTGCCCCCCGTCGGGGGGAGAAAAACCACAATTCGTCGGGGAGAAAAAAAAATTTATATGCTATTTTCTACATGTTAGTAGCCCTTGAAACCCCTAATTTGTCAAAATTTTCGTTGGCTTCGCAGCTGGGCTACTTTTGGAACATTTTTAGCGATGCTCAACCCCTCCCACTTTGCTGTCGTCAGGGAAACCTGCCTCGTCGGGGGTCCGAAGTCGCCACCCCTATTTAGCATTTGCTTTGATAGTTGTTTTGCTGGATTAGGCCTCGGGCCTATTTGTATCTGTGTATGCATTTGGATCATTACTAACTTTTAAAAATTAATTATTATACACGTGAATTTCATGTGAACACACATCATAACCAAACAAGAACACCATACAATATAACAGATAACTGAAATGATATACGAACGCAAATAAGCAAGTTTCCATAAATGTTTAATCAAAAAACCTCGCGCTGTAAACTCATTTATTTATTTTATTTCAACAATATTTTGTGAGCGTGGTCCATCCAGCCTGAGCTGATCATTTGGGACCCTCATACATTCTGGCGATTTCTGACTGATTGCAAAATGGCAGCCGCTCGTTGTGCTAGCGAGTACAGATTTGCTGTACTTACTTGCAGGCTTATTTGTTGAAAAAGGTACTTTGTGAGTGGTTGAATCATGTGAACATGTTTGTTAATTAAATGTTGTGACTGTGAGAAGAACATTGTCAATGTCATTGAATTTGAAGTAAAAGAATTAAGAATTAAAAGTTGGTGCGAAAGTTCATTAGCGCCCCTCGGTACATCCCTAGCTAGACTTTTCTATAAAGCCTAGTTTTAGAAAGCCTAGCTAGGTCTAGGCTAGACCTTAGGCCTAGTTAGATAGAGGACCACAGGGCAAACACTGAACACGAACAACAGCGTCACCAGCATGCTCACATTGTTGTAGAAAAAAATCGTCATAATGAATAAAACAATTATGATACTCATATTTATACATAATGCGGTATGAATACCACGACAAAATTTAGAAATAGAACATTGATTATACAAAAACCATGTTTTTTTGTTTAAGTACTTCAAAAATTGTCTATAAATGTATTTTTAACAATAATTAATATTACCTTTCGGATTGATAACAGATGTCGCCATCTTGGATGATGAGAGAAACGTACAGTACGTACAAAATTCGCTGTTACGTCACAACAATAGCACGCTAAACGAAAAACAAAACTAGCGTTAAGAGTATGCCAAATTAACTATCATATTTAAATTATTTATTTAGTTTATTACAGAATTTTATTTATAAATTTATTTTAAAATTTACAAAATGTATTTATTTTGCTAAATTAATATGATAATACAAATAACTGCATTTAAATAATTGCTTTTAGGCGGTGATTTTATTTAATCGCAGTGAATCAACATACGTGGGCCTCACTGCGTGTGACTTACTTCCTAGCTTCCTGGCCTGCATGCTGTCCTAAAGGAGGTAGAAAAGAAACATGAGGTCAGACTTCATGGAGAAAATATGATCAGAGGGGGTCTATGTAAGGGCCTACCGCTACGAAAAACTCTTGACAAGTATCTAGGTCAATAATATACTAATGGATCGAAATTGCAATAAATTTGAAACGTCACTTGGTAAGTTATATGATAGTAAACCCTCCGTCACGTCTAGGCCCTCCTAAGTAATTACTCTACAGTAATAAGCTAGCTACACCTACGGAAGCAGGTCAACTCGGCCCCAGTACAACCTGGCCCCAAGTCAACTCGGCATAGGCTATTCAATCAATATATATA